AGTTGAAGTCCACCCGACTTAAAGTTGCTGAGGTTGAGAAACATTGCTCTAGGAGTTGGGCAGTGTAAAAAATTAATAAATAAGTTACATCTTAGGTAGACAATGATTGTCAGTGTTGGAGCTTAGCTGTTTCTTTTGTTGCATCACAGTCCATGATGCTACTAAAGTAATTCATTAATGCGCAGCCTTCAGACCAAGACCTGCTCATAAATGTGTATTTGATTAGCTTATTTTTAGCTGTTTAGCTTTATTGCTATGGCTAAACCACATTATTTTATACGACACTACATTATAGCTCTCGTAATTTCAATATTAATATTAATAACGCCAATGTTCATATTCATAATTGTTTTACTCACCGATTTTAGTAATAGAGTGATTTTATGTTTTGCGTTAACTACTTTTCTCTCGAGCTATTATCCCACAATTTTATGTTAGCATTTGCTGAATAGCCCAGAAGTTATACGGCACTACATTCTTCTAATCTTACCATATATTCTGATGGATAAGCCCATCTGCAGCTAAGCCGAACCCAATTTTGGGGGGGTGTTTTGCAACCTAAAATTCTTGGCTGATCCACAAGAATATACTGTAATCTTAAAATTGCAGCAAAACTATGATTTTATAGACAGTGTGAGTCATTCTGAAGTTTTGTTGCTCTTCCACAGGAAATGGGACAAACTCAGAATGGGATGGAGGTAATGTCATCCCTTAATTTTACGCTGGCCAACGACCAAAATAAGGATGACTGATTTACTAAAGCAGGAGACTCTATTTTTACTGCATTCCAGAAAATGGTAGCCATAGGAAATAGCTGGCTGCTACTGAACAAGTGGGAAAGGGAGTGCAGAATTTCTACCCCATCCAAATCTCAAAGTCTTCACACTCCCTGGCAGGGGCTGCCTTCTTAGGAAAGAGCTGGGAGCTCCGACTCTTGTCGTGTCCATTGATGATGGATGCTTCTTTATAATCTCTCCCACTCAACTAAGTTCATTAAGCCAGGCTGGACTCTTCCAGATGATGAATTCTTGGATCTCAGGGCATCAGAAATCATCAGGGTTGAAAAACAGACCGTCTGTCCTGCATCCTTTAAACCCATAGTGACTTTAATGAGTTGACTCTTTAAAGCAGCTCTGCCTTTATTTAGCCCCAGGCAGAAGCTTAAAAAAGGTGGGGCTGCTTTCAATAATGAGTAAATTTGATTTAGAAAGCCACCTCATCACCTAATGGACAGCAGAGAAGCGTGATGTTCACAGATTTTATGCAAGTTTGAAGCTCTTCCTCAGAATTATTTTCCACGTGTTCCCAGCCCTAGTTGCAACTATGCTTTTCTTATCGCACCTTTGGAAAAAGAAGTTTCAAACTTCTGTTTCTACCCTGGAAATTAACCATTCCATTGCATCTGATGAAGTGAGCTGTAACTCATGAAAACTTATGAATTTTAGTAATTTGTTTGCCTGAAAAGCTGCTACCAGACTCCTGATTTTTTGCCACCTCAGATCAGTGTTTTTCAGGCTTGGCAATTTTAAGATGTGTGGACTTCAATTCCCAGAATTCCCCAGCCAGCATGTTTTTCCCTGCTGGCTGGGGAATTCTGGGAGTTGAAGTCCCCACATCTTAAAGGAGCCAAGTTTGAAAAACACTGCCATAGATTAATACAGCTTTCCTCCTACAAGGCCTTGCCCAGATGGAAAGATGGAAAGTACTCACAAGAATGAGCACCTTGGAGCACAAGGTTCTCAACCAGCACTCTCCAACCTGGAATTTTCCAAGTGGGCCACCTTGGTGTTGCAAACCCAACAAATTTGGAAAGTTGGCCTACTTAGATGCCACCAGTCTGTGGATCAGTTCCATTCCATGTTACCTGGTAAGACTGGATATCCAGTTGATGGCGATCTTCAATATTGAGCCTCTGCCTCTCCAAGGATTCCTTCATGCCCCGGAGAGTTTCCAGCTCTGTTGTTTTGGACTGCAGCTGCCGGCGATATTCGGACAGCTCCTCTTGGGCGTTGCGGATGGCATCAGTATTCACCTTGGCCACTTCGGAGAGCTTGTCCAACCTCACTGTAGAATGGAGTAGGGAAAAGAGAAGACCCAGTGAGCCACTGGTGCACTTGAGTAAACCCTGGCTGGGTACCGAAACTCAGGTTTACGGGATACAGTGGTTTACAAAATACAATCACGTAGGATGCTATACTGCAATGAATTGGCCCAGGTGACAGGTCATATCATGGCTTAATTCATGCAACATGCTAATCTGATCGCCCCATCTCCAGCCATAGTGAGGTCTAAGCTATCAAGCTGGGTGAATCCAACCCAACTGTATTTATCTTAATACAGTTTCTGTATTCTGTAATTCTTAATCACCTTATGGGGGATTCCGTAGATAAGAAAATGTGTTACTTCCCTTGAGGTCACCCTGACTTGATACCCTTGGGGGCCCTCCTGTGCCACCTCCAGAGCGCTTCCTGAATATTTGCTCCTATGTCCACCCGAGGGCACCGCTGCGGCAATCCAGAGAGCCAGTTTGGTGTAGAGTTTAAGGTGCTGTATTGGAGATTAGGAGATTGTGAGATCTAGTCCTGCCTTAGGCACAAAACCAGCTGGAGGGCTTTGCATCAGTCCTTCTTCCTCGCCTAATCTACTTGGTCTTGGTGTAGTATTTGTGTATCTAGCATTCATTTTATACTTCATACTTTATCTCTGTGTAGTTTTAATGGTAAGCTGCCTTGAGTAACGTCTCCAGCCAAAGTGGAAACACGTGAATCCATATTAAGAAGCAAGTTAGTTCTGTCCAGCCCTTCTTCTGATTTAAACAGCTCTCTCAATCAAGCTAGAATGCCAGAAAACCCTGGGAAGCTGATTTTCGAACATGCTGATGATCCAGGTACGTAGGAATATGCAGATAACTAAAGTATGTGAGGTTGTTAATTTGTTTTTTTTTTAACAAATCAACCTTGAAGAGTTTCTCTTTGCCAAAATTAGCAAGCAGATGCCTGGGAAGATCAGAAGTGGTTACAAGAAGGAAGAAGCAGCAATTGGTAGGGAAGAATTCCCTTTATTGCTTCACTTCCAGAGGAGAAAATCCTTAAATTGCTAGAGGATTCAATATTACGTTGGCCAACAACTGAGCAATTTTCAGGAGTAGCATAGCTTGCTGAGCAATCTAAAACGTCTTCTTACAAGGACGTGGAGAGAAGGTTGTTTAAATGTCTTGTTATATTGCCGTTTGGGTTAAAGCACGGAATGGATTTTGCTGCAAAGGTGTAACTGTCTTTCTAGACCAGCTATGAAAATTTCCCCATCATATGTTGTAGGTCATTCCGTCCTTCCTGGCTGCATTTTGAATGGTTTCAACTCTTTTGATGCAAATGAGCCGAATTAACACGTAGCCCTGTGCTCATTATACTAATTACTCAAAAGATCCTCATTGTGAAGAAGGTGAGGTTTTAATTGGCATTCTGGAAAAAAAAAGTTAATTGTTTGAAGGTCTATGATAAGGCACTGTTTCAAAAAAGAGAGAGAGAGGGGATAATTTTGTATTGAATCTGTTTTCTAAATTACCTGTTTTGGGGTGCAGAATGCTCTCTGTGTGGTTTGTTTCATGAAGTGGGAAGGAATTAATTCTATTTTTACAGAACCCCCAGGTTGAAAAATGATTATTTAGTAGTTCTTTTCAGTCAAATCAAATGATTTATACAAGCTGTTATGGCTTTACTTATTTTTGTATGTGTGTATGAAAGTGAGAGTGAGTGAGAGGAAGAGAGAGAAAAATGCTTCTAGGGCATCTTTTAAGGGAGCAAACCCTTCGCTTCATAGGCTGACACTACAAGCTTCAAAATTAATAAAAGCCATAGGCATATAAGGCAGATAGCCCCCCCTTTCGAAAAACATGTGTTGCTGGAATATCAGAAAAAGGAGATCACTCTAGTACAGTGTTTCTCCATCTCAACGTCATTAAAATGTGTGGACTTCAACTCCCAGAACTCCCAGCATGCTGGCTGGGGGAATTCTGGGAGTTGAAGTCCACACATCTTAATGTTGTTGAGGTGGAGAAACACTGCTCTACTATGATGATGATTGGAAGGAAGGGGCCTCAGGTAATCATGCTTCCTCTATGATGTCATATGAATTAACTTGTGGAACTCACTGCTTCAAGATGGGGAAATGACCATGTTTTAGAAAGATGTTTTTAAAGGATTAGGTAAATGCATGAAAGACAGCCAGTTTGGTGTGGTGGTTAAAGGCACCAGGCTAGAAACCGGGAGGCGGTGAGTTCTAGTCTTGCCTTGGGCACAAAGCCAGCTGGGCGACCTTGGGCCACTCCCTCTCGCTCAGCCCTAGGAAGAAGCCGGCCAGGGCAAACCCCTTCTGAAAAACCTTGCCAAGGTTACCGCAGTCACCACTGACTTGGAAAAAGGCATGAAGGAGAGGATGCGAAAAGTGAATCCGGTCTGAGTGTAGGTCTTTAATCCCTACAGAGTTGATGGTTCTTGGAGTTCTCGGTTTAGCATCCCCAGTCGCTACGAGCAGGGAGCAGCACCCTGGACAGCGCCCTCGCCCTGCGCGCCGCGGCGTCTCTCCCCCACGCCCGATCGCCGCCTTTCCGAGGGACAAGGGAGCGTCGTGAATGCGGATTAGCACCCCCAAGGCCCGGGGGGGGGGGGCGCGGGGGCATGGGAGCGAACAGGGAAAAAAGAGTTACGGAGGCTGGGTCGGATATTAAGCTGGCTGGTTCCGGG